CATGATCACTTGATCAAAATTTGGATGCTTGGCAAGTGGCACATATTTATGATGTTTGTAGTGTCCCGGGGTCATGTGATCACGTTTTGTGAACTTCTGAAAAGCAAATGGGAAAGCTGGATTAACTTGAAACCATCGGGTTACTAACAACTACAGCGATTCACTTAACACCTATGGCAAGAAAAGTCATAAAATGGGGCAAAACTCACTTAACAGCTGTCTAACTTAGCAACAGAAATTTTGGGCTCAATTGTAGTTATAAGTTGAGGACTACCTTATAGTAATGTTAAGAGGGTCATGAAAGAATATTTCCGTCTTAATAAATATAAGGGAAGATATAATATTCAGTTTACCTCACCAAGTTTGATGATCACTTCAGTGTGCCACCAATTTGGAATTTTTGCTACAAATCCCAAAAGGAACAAAGCAGGAGAATGTCGGGAAAGGACCTCAATCTCTGAAAGCTTGCCATACAGAGAGAAATTTACCAGTGCTGAAAATACAAAATTGGAAATTTTTGTGGGATGTTTGGATGAGGCTAGGGAAAGAGGGAGAGCCGAAACTTTTAGGCTGGCGGCTTTTGATCTGCTGAGCTACATACCAATTTGACCTTTGGAGATCATACCTCGATTTAATTCCATTCATTTATGGACTCCAAAGAGGATTTAGGGATATGAGATCATAACTGTCAAATAAGAAGCCTGAATTCCCCCCCCCCCATCTACATCAGTTGCAAAATAAGCCCATTCTTTTATTACAGAGATGGGAGCCTATTTTTTAAAAAAACAAAGTTTGCAACTTTTTAAAAAGATGTCTAAAATGTCAAACCATTCTGAAAAATATGTTTGGGGACACACAAATATAGTGTTTCTCAAGCTTGGCCCCTTTAAAGCTCTGTGGACTTCAATTCCCAGAATTCCTCAGCCTGCCATGGTGGCTGGAGAATTCTGGGAGTTGAAGTCGACAGAGCTTAAAGCAGCCATGGTGGAAAAACACTGTATTAATATGAAGCTGTATTAGTTGAATAAGCCACACTATTGGCCAGATCATACTAAGCCATAAAATATGATTTATGTACTGAACAATGCCAAACCACAACAGCCAGATTTGATCTGTGTCATGCCAAGGGCAATTCTGGGAGTTGAAGTCCACAGATCTTCAAGTTACCAAGATATAAAAACACTGCTCTAACTAATATGAAGGGAGCATATACAGTAGTATAATTTGCAATGGCAAGAAAAAGAGAAAAGATCATTTTGCCAGAATGTTACATTTATGCATTTACAAACTGACATTTTTTTCAAAAGATCCAACCTAGCAATAAGAAGAAAATTTCTCATAGTGATAACAATCAATGGAATAGCTTGCCTTTCGGAGTTGTGTGTGCTCCATCATTGGATGTTTTCAAAAATAGAGTGGACAACCATGTGACCAGGATTCTATGTTCCCATAAATATAATAAAGTGCAAGTCATGACATTTAGCACAAATGAATTACAAAATAATGTAAACACCTTTAATTAATGTACTAATTTATTCCCTGTGTTTTTACATGCAAATCAGTCCTAAATTTTCATGTTCAAGCAAGCCACTTTGTATTATGTGTGTAAATAAATGCTTATTGTAAAAGCTTAGAACCTCATATTGATTTTTTAATACAATTTCTAAGTACAAAATCAATACACAAATATACAGCTAGAAATAGAGGGAAACAATAAATCACACATAACTATGCCAACATGAAAGTAAAGCTAAAATCAAAGACACCCCAAAGACGCAACCCATTCCCCAAGCAAGAGGATTCTTTTCCAAATGCCCAAACTGATTTCATGCAAGACCTTAAGCTATAGCGTGATTTGCTGTTCTGTGTGAACTCTGACATCATGATTTATAAACCATAGTTTATGTCAGTGACTTGGGTGTGAACCCAAGCAATTATAGTTTATTCCATAAACTGCTGTTAAACAAACCACAGCTTTGTGTAATGCATGAACCCAACCACAGAAAGTTTATAAGAGATTTCAAGTGACATTATACTTCTGTCCAAACTGGATACAAAGGCCTCCACTCCGATTAACAGTTTACTTGCTAGCATGCACAATCCTGGTGAAACTTTCACAGGAATAAACAAAGACCACTGCCACAATACTGCAGACACACAGTAGGAGATTACTGTCATCAACAAGCTGGGCATCCAAGCATGAGTTAATACAAACATGATGTAATAAAAGCAAAGGAGTTTGTCTTTATAAAAAATATCCTTCATACATTATAGGTATCTACTTGTCTAACAACACCCACCATTTAGTACCACTGGCAATGGATTACAAATCCTAAAATTACAATCAAAATAAAGCTGGCACACATGAAAAAGCCACCCATCTGTCCTCTTGTAGCACAGCATTAACTCTGAGCAATTAACCTTCCTAAATAGCAAACATGTACAGCAGTGTTTCCCAAACTTGACAATTTTAAGGCATGAGGACTTCAACTCCCAGAATTCCACAGCCAGCAATGCTGGCTGTGGAATTCTGGGAGTTGAAGTCCATATGCCTTAAAATTGTCAAGTTTGGGAAACACTGATGTACAGTGAGGGGGAAAAGTGCTGGCTTCTAGATGAAAGTTTAATAACAAAACCGTAGCAGATTACAAGAATCAGCCGTAGGAAGTAATCACTGTTGTGGTTAACACAATCAAAAGATCAACCACTTCCTGATTTCTGATGGCAGAGTACAAAGACGTATACTCCATTCTGACTTTTATATATGTGAAAAGTCTGTTGCATATAACTCCTGAGATAGGGGTTAGTTAATACTGAGATAGGCAATATTGCACTCTAGGGACTGGCAGCTCAATTATAATCCCATTAATCTTAGTTTAAAAATCACTCTAACACCACATTTGCAGTGGATATGAAGTCATTAATTCATTAACTCTCATGCAAGAAGAATGAGACTTACATGGCCACGTAATTTATATAACATCAATAAAAGTAGACATCAAAGAAGCAAGTGCAGAATTTTATTCAAGAATGTGAGCTGCAAGCTATAGCTTTGGTACTTTAATCTCTATCTTTTTTTTCTCATGAAATAAGAGCCTTTACATTAGTTTTTAAGTCTGGTTAGGTATCAAACTCTCCATGACAAATAAGGACATCTCTTTATCTCTTTATTTAAAGTGATTTTGTCCTAATTCTGGTTCTCAGGTTGCCCATACGTTTCAATCTAAGCACAGATATATCGTATTCTGTTAAGGCAATTTGACATTTCTCAGGTTACAACGTATGTTAAAGTGCTCTAACATCTTTAAGTAGAATACCAGATCCCTGTATAGTATATTTAAGTTGACTAACTCTGCTAAAAAGTTATTACAACAAGTAACAATGAAAAAATTCATTTCCTAGGGATAATTTTAACGTTTAAAAAAGTCAAAATTTTGATAACTCTTGACAGCTACTTATAACGTTATATCCTTACACAATGTATAAGCAGTTTTCTGCTTCAAAAGAGAATAAAAGCTGCAGTCCTAAACATACTTACTTCCAAGTAAATGTATCTACAGCCAAAAAGGAAATATTTGTACATGAGAGGTGTGATGAGAATCTGAATGCACCAATTTAGGGCTTAGATAAAAATCACATTTTATTGGCCCATATTTTAACACCTTAACTTTAGTAGTCATATAGATCCCCAATCTGAGTACATCAGGAATTAAGTACTGTAAATAATTACTAAGTTAAGACTCATCAAACTATTTAACAGATAACAAGGGTCCAGTGTGCAGCAAGCAAAGGAAAGCATTTGGTCTACATCTGCAAACCATTCATTTTTTTTTTCTACAAAAAAAAAAAAATCAGCTTTCTTTATTTTGGACTGTAACTATTAATTCCTTAGGAAGCATAAAGAAGCAGTTTAGACAAGTAGAATATTCTTTGTCTTATAAAAGTAAATAGCAAGTGTTTATTCAAGTGCCTTTAAATGTCACCACTGAATTAAAGACAAAAAGATAATTTTATACAGCCAGAAGAAAAAGTTGAATAACTAAAGATTGGTAGAAGAGCCTAGGTCAGGTTTTTAAAAATCTGTATCTGAAATCTGTATCCATACAACATACAAATGACAACCTTATGATAAATCAGATGGTTCTGTAGAAATCCTTACATTTGACAATCTTGAGCTTCCCTCAGCTTGTGCGGTAGCTTTAAGGAACCCTGTCATATACAACATGGGGTTTCCTGGGGCCTAATCTTGAGTTTTAATCAGGGCTGTTATAAGTAAAACCTAAGACAACATCAATATTTAAAAACATGGGGTTTTCCAACCTGTCAATCTTGTCTTTAAAATAATTCTAATAAAAGAATCCTACCTGTCCACTTTCAATGCTTATTTCAGTCATTAATCAGAATGATTTTTTCTCTGGACAAATGACCTTCCCATGTCCAAATCAGTCAGGTTTCACAAGATTATAGCATGAACCTTTCAGAACAGACACATGTTGAACAAAGCACATTAAAGCACTTATGTCCTGTACTGCATATATATCCTGCTAAGAGAAACTCAATTGAGAACTTCAGGGAGGATAGAAAGAAAATATTGTGAGTTTGCAGATGAGGTCCCATGAAGGAACTCAGCAACAAACCTACACCCACAGACTTTGAAGAATGAGGGTGAGATGTGTCCCTTTTAAAACATTTATTCTGCAGAGTGTCAGTACTATAACTAGAATGGACAGCTTCTATTCCCTCCAAGTTCTTCACTCTTTGAGGATGTGAGAACTCTCTACCCCCAAAGGGATGTCAGTTAGTTGCTCAGCAACTAGCTACAACTAGATATGTCAATGAAAAGGAAACACACTATTATATTAATCATACTATGCAAAGAAGGATGAGAAACTGCCTTTAATGGAGACTTTGATATGAAAACACACACATAACAGAATTTCAAAAGAATCTGGCATGCCTATCCAAAACAAGGATTTAAACTTTGCAAATAGGACACTTACAGATGAACTATCCAGGTGGGCAGTTCCAGAGGAACGCTTTCTAATCCCCGGTTGCTGCAGTCCAAAATATCACCGATGCACGTACAGTTGGAGTCACACTCCACGCAAGAGCCCATTCCCACGAACACTTGGAAAATCAAAAAGAGGGTCCAAAATGCATCTCTAAGGAGTGAAGACCTCATCTCTCCCCATCCTGGCAGCGCCATTTTGTATCGTTGTGAAAAAGTGGGGACCAAGACTGGAAATACCCAGCCAAAGGTTCAGATTCTTTATTGGGGGAGGGGGGAGGGGAGGAGGAGGGTTGAACCAAAGAAAAGTCCCACGCGTGTTGTTTTTTCCCCCCTTTCTTTCTCCTAGACCTGAACTCTTTGCTCCGAGGTCAGCAGGCCTCCAGAGGCACTTGGTTAAACCATGACACCTCAATCCAAAGCACTGGCAATTCCTTCAATTTTTCTCCGGGTCCGATCCCGGCGCTGGGTGTCGCGGGAAAAGGGCACAGCGCCGGCTCTTCCACGCAGCAGTCTTTAAGAGTCTCCAATGCCTAGAGAGAGAAAGAAGCAAGCTCTTGGCCCCGGCACGAAGCTCAAATGTCCCCTCCGGGATCACTACTCGCGAGCTAAGCAAGGGACTGGATCCTGTGCTCGAAAAAAGGGAGCCCGCATCTTTTCGGCTGCAGCTGCTGCGCCTGGGCCGAGCCGGGGAAAAGCTCCACGCATCCAGAAAGTTCCTCTTCTTTCTTCCCCGCCGCTTCTCTCGCCTCCTCCGCTGCAAGCTGAGGCCGAGCCCGAGAGCTCAGCGGAGCAAAGACCTAGCTTGCAGCGGGGACAGCAACGCCGCGGCTCTGCCGATGCCTTGCCCTTTTCTCCTCCGAGGCTCCGACACCTTTCCCAAGCACGGGCGAAGCGGTGCTCTCTATCTCCGCCTCCGCAACTTTCCCCTCTTGGCTTTCCTTGCTGGCTCTCCTCCTCCTCTTCCTCCCGCCTCCTCGGGACTGATACGCGCCCCGCTTGGGAGCAGCCAGCCGAGCCGAGCCGCGCGGTCCTCTCGGGGCGCTCGCGCAAGCGGCCTGTCACCTTCGCGTCCCCACCTCCCACCTCACCGTCCGCAAAGCCACTTTTCAGTCCCCCCAAGCGTCGGTTGCCCAACTCAAACCCACGTTGGACACATTGCAACATGTTCCGTCCTCTTCCCGCTCTCTTATTGGTTCCTGGGCATTCCACGGCGTGCCCGCGCGCTTCCCGATTGGACGGAAGGCCCTTCCCCTGTTTGGATATACAACGTTCCATTGAGGTTGGCAGGCCGTCAATCAGAAGCGAGAGGTCCCGCCTCCCTTTCCCACCCAAGGTGTGAAAGCGGGAGACTCCCTGTTCAATCCGAGCGTCTTAAAGGGGAAGAGCGTATCGGGCGGAAAAACAAACGCATCTTCCTTACTCGTAGGTTGCACTCGGTGTCTGAGATCCCAGCCTTTGAGTTATAAGGAGGCCTGAGCAATAGAAATTCCTTCAAGCTCCCGATTGGATGATTGCCATTTTAAATGGAAATTTAACTTTTGGGAACCAGAAATTTCCAATCGGAGGAAGATGAAGGGGCTGTATAACGCGCGGGGCTGTGTCTGGGTGCTTTGCAATGGACAGGGTGGGTAGAATTAGTCCCACGAAAGGAGCAACAATGTTCCCACGACAGCAAACTCAATGATTGTTTGAGTCCCACACGATTAGTCACCGTTTGTTATTTCTTAGGGTTAATGAATCTTGCCTACAAAAACCCGGTCGATCGCTAGAGAGCAGCAGAGCGACACAGAAAACTATTACTTTGCTTCACCCTAAAGGTGGAGGAAGAGTAAAGCTGTCAGAAGAAGGCGGCAGAGTTCTGCTCAAAGCTTACCTGATACTACTGTTCCTTCCTCATCTCTGGAAAGAGGGTAAAAACCAACTTCTGGGTTTTTCTGGGTCAGTTAGGAAATGTTTGTGAAATTGGATCCTGCCATTAAAAAAAATCCACTGAATCTTAATATTGGCTCTCTTTAAGAAATTAAAATTTAAGAATATTGGCTTCTCTTTAAGAAATTTAAATTAAAAAAAAAATAGAAAAGTAATTGTTTTGCACAAAATGCCCAAGAGGGCTTGGTACAGGCTTGTACTCGACTTACAATCACAATTGAGACCAACATTTTTGTTGTTAAATGAGACATTTGTTAAGTGAGTTTTGCTCCATTTTGTGACCTTTCTTGCCACTGTTAAGTGAATAACTGCAGTTGTTAAGCTAGTAACAGGGTTGTAAAGCGAATCTGGCTTCCCCATTGATTTTGCTTATCAGGACACAAAAGGTGATCACATGACCCCGGGACACAGCAATAGTCTTAAGTGTGAACCAGTTTCCAAGCATCTGAATTTTGATCACGTGACCATAGAGATACTGCAATGGTCGTAAGTGTGAAAAACGGTCATAAGTCACTTTTTTTCAGTGCCGTTGTAACTTCAAACAGTCATTAAATGAACTGTTGTAACTCAAGGACTACCTGTATTTCAGGCTTCCTACTATGCCTCAAGAGAGAAAATGTTCAATAGCCAAGTATACATTTGGGTTGTTTCTATTGCCTTTGCCACTCATTGGTACAGTTTCATGAGTGACAAAATAATCATTTTATTTCCAAAATAGCATTTTCTTTTTTTAAAACCTACAGAATGCCTTCTTTGCAGGGCTAGGCCAGTGGTGGCGAACCTATGGCACGTGTGCCAGAGGCGGTACTCAGAGCCCTCTCTGTGGGCACGCACGCCGTCCCCCCAGCCCTGCCTCCTCCCGAAGCCCCCTCCTCACCAGCAGCCCCCCCAGAGAAGAGTTGCCCCCAAGCGTAGCCCATGCGGAGCAGTGCAGCCAAGGAATGGCAGCTGGGCAGCAGGGCCAAGACTCCACCCTCGCATCCCATCACATGCACTTCAAGCTGCGGGGTGCGGGCAGAGGGCGTGGATGCCATGGCGCTGCTGGGCCGCCTGGGTGATCTGCGGCGGGCTGTGGAGGCGGTGGGTGGCCCTGCAGGTGGGGTGGGGGGCGGGGCAGGGAGTGGAGCGGGGGGGTGGGTGATGGAGCGGGGGCAGGGCCGGTTTTTGGGCACTCAGTTTCTAAAAGGTTTGCCATCACTGGGCTAGGCTATGAGCAGTCATCTGGCATGAACCAGAAAGTGTCAGGTCCTCAAATCCTCATTGTTTTCCTTGCATATATATATATATACTCTTGTCCTTTTGTTTTGGGGCCTGCCATTCTGCTGGGGGGAGGGGGAATATTTGCTTTCGCTTGGGATAACTTTTGCTTTCTGCTTGTCTTCTCCTGCCTCTATCCACTTGAGAAAGGAATTTGTCTCCCTTATCAGGGAGAGGGTTGCAGAGAAAGGAAACTAGAGAAGACCTTGAGATGCGTGCCAATTGTGCCAGTTATCCGCCACCTGTGGATTGGCTGGATTTCAAATGGCCATTATGACTTTGGTGGGAGGAGGAATATTGATGATTTAACTATAACGTTGAAACGGGATTTTCCCCAGATCTCGCCTTGACTTCCCTAATGCCACTAACCCCTAATAAAAGTTTCCTTTTGAGACAATGCCTGTTTCAAGAGTTCTGCTTTCTTGGGTGGTTAGCTGAGGTGGGTCCTTACAGAAAGTGATCTGGCAGTAGTCAACTCTAAAGAGCCAACCAAAAGCCAGTACCAAAAGCAACTCATCTGGCCCGTGCGCCACTAGTTTGACACCTCTGATCTACTCTTTCAGGAGTGTCCACAAGGAGTTGGTCAAAATTCAGGACAGCAGCCACAACCATGAAATTGAAGCCATGCCACAACCCATAGAAAAAAAAATCCCATCAGTCTTCAACTATATGGTTTTATTTATTTCTACATTTATATTTATATGGCTAATTCAAACTCTAGGCCAGGTGGTCAATTATGGCCCGTTTATGACCTGTGACTTCAACTCCCAGAATTTCTGGGACAGCCATGCTGGTTCAGGAATTCTGGATTTTAAGTCCACAGGTTGTAAAGAGGCCATCCCTGCTCTAGAGAGTATTCAAACAAACAAACAAAACAATGAACAAACAATTTTTTAAAAAACCCATAATTGATATAAAATAATATGGTGAACAGAACTGAGGACTTCCACAATTTACTGTTGGGGACCTATCTCAACCTGACTCCAAAACCTGAAGGAAGAGCCAAGTCTTAACTACTTCCTTGAGGCATGTATGGTTTTAGGCCAATCACATGCCACAAAGGCAAAAAACATCACAATACGTCACGATATGTCATGTGATGCAATCGGATTTGACACCCGTGGAGTAGATGATGGATGGGGATTCAGACAAACATCTGAGACAGCACCAGTGTACTCAACCCTTCACTCAAATGTATTTTTTAGCAGCTTTATTGAAAAGGGCTATAGCGACTGGTGTTACAATCATTTGTAAGTTTCATGGCTGAGCAGGAAACTGGAAAGCCCATCACATACCCATGCAATAAAATCCAAGTTTAACTTTGATTTTATAATCAAGCAAAAAAAAGAAAACAGCTGGATTCCAATGGCCAGAGTCTAGTAGTCTGACTCAAGGAAGAATACCTCTTCAACACTTTCTCCAAGTATTCTGAAAAAAAACCCAAACTCAATAGCCAACTCAAACATTAGACTGAAAAGTAAGGCTAGTGTACATAATTTGTAACAACCTAGCCTTGTCTAAATTTAATTTCAGTGATGATCTCACAAGGTGGCCTTCACCAAAGCTTCTTTCTTAACACCTTTAATTATTGCCAGGATTCATGAATCCTGTGAAAGTCTATTTAGCCAAAAATTTCTGTGTAAACTGTAACTGGCTGGGTTTTTACATAACTTCTAGAGAAAATCTGTGCATGTGGTTGCTAAGAATTATCAACAAATTGATGGCATATAATAAATTTGGGGGGGGGGCAATCACACATAACAAAAACATTCCTCATAGTTTACAAGTAAAATGATGTCTTGAATCATGTAGTGTGGTAAAAAAATAAGCTGGGCTTTGCACATCCTAAATCAAGATTAGCTAAATAAGCAGCAACTGGCCAGCTCCAAACTTGAAAAGAAAAACTGTAAACCATGATTTATAAACGATAGTATAGGTAGCCCTCAACTTACAACTGTTCGTTTAGTCACCTTTCAAAGTTACAACAGCAGTGAAAACAGTGACATGACAATTTTTCATAGTTACGACTATTACAATACCCTCATGGTCATGTGATCAAAATTCAGGCTCTTGGCAAGTGACTCACATTTATGACGATTGCAGTGTCCCAGGATCATGTGATCACAGTTTGCATCCTTCTGACAAGCAAAGTCTATAGGAAGCCAGATTCACTGAACACCTGTGTTACTAATTTAACAAGTGCAGTGATTCATTTAACAACTGGCAAGAAAAATGGGGCAAAACCCACTCAACAAGTGTCTCACTTAGCATCAGAAATTTTGGACTCAGTTGTGGTCATAAGCTGAGGACTACCTGTATTTAATTTCCCATAAAGCCCAAAGGCAATCTCATTGTGTCTTAGAGCATTGTGTGAACCAAGCCATTGTGGCTTATTGAATAATATGTCTTAATAATAGATATAAATCAAATCTACGGGATGGCATAATGTGTAAAGCCAGCCACTGAGACACACAAAGCATTAAGCATTATAAAAATTGATATAATACCATTTAAATAAAAATAAAAACTGACTATAAACCTCAAGGAGATCTTTGAAAAATGCATGATGCGTGTTCAAGTTCTGAAATTGTCAGGTAGTAGCTAAGATTTTTGCTCTAAAAGAAAAAATCCAGACTTGATCTAAAGGAAACACTTGCCTTGATAGTGTCAATCTAAACCTGAATAGATATGAATGTTTGCAGGGAGAGAATCATGTTATTCTGGATTCTTTTTTCTTTTTTCTTTTTGGCACAGAAGCCAACGTGCCACTACTGAAATCAATAGAAAAAGGAGTTGTATTCAGTGATTAACTTAAGTAATAATAAAACGAGAAGAAAACATTCCTTGTGTTCTCCAATATATGTTGGGCTCTGTGCCGAAAAATATTCGGGCTCCGGATGCTAACAAT